GCTGGCTGAGGAATTCTGGGAGTTGAAGTCCACAAGTCTTAAAGTTGCCAAGGTTGGACACCCCTGCCCTATACCATTTCAGACAAATGGCTGTCCTTAAAATCCTCCAGTGTTGGAGCACCCCCAACTTTTGGAGGCAAGATGTTCCACTGATTAATTGTTCTCACTCTCAGGACATTCTCCTTAGTTCTGGTTCTTGGTTCTGCAACGTTCTTAAGTGTGAAAAACAATCATAGCCTCACTTTTTTCAGTACCACTGTAACTTCGAGCAGTCACTAAATGAAGTGCTATAAGCCGAGGACTATCTGTAACCCAGGCTGACACTTTGTTCTATCCCTCCTCCCCACAAGGGTTTCGGTGTCTTCGCATGTTGTCCACTGTTAAGGACACACTTTGCTTCCCATTCTCTAAGGCCACAATTAGGGCTATTTTTCAAGGCCACCACATTGCCACATTATTACTTGGAGACTTACGGCCCTGTCTTTAAAAATCTGAAGTCCATTTCTGATTTGGGTGGCCTTGAAAGTAATGAATGGTTATATACGCGTCTGCTTTCTTGTGCTACATGTCAAAGATCTGACAAGCTTCCATTTTAATGTTTTCATGTTCTTGGTGATATGCCCTTCTAACTAACATGGCCTTGTTTTAGCAAGCCACTTTAGGAGGATAATAATCTCATTTCACTTTAAGCCTTAAGTGGCTGTCCTGAAGCTGAGCAATAAACAGATATTGAACTATTCACCCAAGATGTGATTTCTGCTTCTCACTTCCTTTATAAAATGCCTACCCTGAAGTGTACTGCATTTGCTATGGCTGGTATTTATAAAAGTAATGGTTCCATAATGCAAGGTTTTTTTCTCGGGTCCTTCTCCAAACCCATTTCAAAGACCACCCATGACAATCTCAGGATAAATGTGAGAAGGAGCTCTTCAACCTGTTACTGAAACAGTCTGGTTCTTAGAACAGTGTGGGAAGAGAACCATCTCAGATCCAATAGAATTACAACGTCCTTCCGTTTAAGATACAACATGAACTCTGTGCACACAGCCACAGCTGCTTATACTCTGTAAAATCACCATGAACCTGTGGCGTCTAGCATGCACACTTGCATCCAAGGATTTTATTTGTCTGTCTGTCTTGGATCCCAAACAGGTTGGTTTGAAAGAGGGGTCAAAGAGGCCATCTACATTAAAGAATGAACAGCCCTCTCTCAACAGAGGGGGAGGGATGTGACACTACCTCCTGTTTACAACACAGTCCTTTCAGCAGTTCCAAGAAGGTTGCACACCCATCTGCACCATTTAGGTGACCCTGAAACCTCAATGACTCTCAGAAAGAGTGCTAATGACCAGATGACTGGAAGGAATATAAATCCTTCCATCCTCCACCATTCAGTCAGAACTGAAAAAGCGTATGAGATGAGAAGTGAAACGTCTTCAAAGAAAAACAAAGTCCAGTTGCCTTTTGAAAAAGTACTTTTGGGACAACCATGACTTGGATGACTGAGAATCTCCATAGACATCTCATGTGGCCGCCCACTTCCTCTCAGGAGCTGTAGGAGGCCTACAAATTATCTCCTGTTAGTAATATTAAATATATTTTCCATAACTTTATTTATTTTGTCTCCCGTCTTTATTAATTTTAACTAATAACTCAAGGTGGCGAGCATATCCAACAAGCCTTCCTCCTCCTAGTTTCTCCACAACAACCCTGTGAGGTGAGATGGGCTGAGAGAGAGATGGTCGGCCCAAAGTCACCCAGCTGGTATTCATGGCTAAGGACGGACTAGAACTACCCGCCACCCATTTTCTAGCCAGATGCCTTAACCAGACTAGACCAAAGTCAAGAAAAACCAGGTTTAAATATAAAAAAAAGTCATTTAGAACATTTCTTGACAATGCATTTCCAGCAACATGATAAAATAAAGGGAGAGGAGTTTAGCATCTGCAATGTTCACAATGGTTATTGCATATACTTGGGGGGGGGGGGGGGGGGGGGGGGGAGAGGTTTCATTTCTGTAGCAGTGACCTTCCTGCAAACCTTCTCAATAAGTCAATGCTATAATTAAAAGTATAGCATTTGATTAAAAAATAAATGGCCATTTCTTAAACTAAGTTACTGTGTGGCTGCAGTTTCCAAATTGGAAATTAAAAGTCCAGCAAGATGTCAGCTGACACAAGAAACGAGAAAGACATTTACCCTAATAAATACTGAGTTTATATAAACAATGTGCTATATAAATCATGAACAAATAAACACTCCTCTCTTGTTCCTTAGGTTTAAGGTTTATAAAAGCACCAGAAACAACTCTGAAGAGAGATTTTCAATGGAGATCACTATCACGGATTTAACTATCCTGAAAGACTCTGGCACGCAACCCTTGGCCCAGTACCAGGAAATCTCCCAGGCCACTGTAAGATAAACTGCTGAGCAGAAACTGGGTTTTCTGACTGTAGCACCAGGGAAAGAGGGGACAGTGGCTCATTTGGGGGACAAGATTCCCCACCTCTCATCCAAAGCTCCCTTGAGTAATGAGCTACCCAAACAGGGCCAGGATCGGTAGGAATTACAGATTGCAAAATCCTGAGGGAGATTTTTAGGAGTGCAATATGTTTCAAAATGTAATACGGGTACTCCTCAACATTAAACAACGGTTTGTTTAGTGACAAAGTTACAATGGCACTGAAAAAAGTGACTTGTGAGCTATTTTTATGCTTATTGTCAACTCACAAAATATTTCTATTGTCTTTTTAGAGTTGCCAACAGAAAGGGAAGGGGGAGCAGTGCGGTGGCTTGGAAACCGAAAGTGCATTCCATAAATAGTTTTCAAAGATAATAACTAGGTGACTGAAGTTTCTGCCACCCAAAATTCTAACTGGAGAACATGGTTGATGACTCTGGGCTATGGATGTGTTCCATCGGATTATGTGCCTCAGAGTCGGCTACACCCAGGCAGTGCCGGACATTTTAACTCCCAATAAATCCTTCTGAAGTTTTGGAAGTTTGGCTCGAGACTCATGATTTAATTGGGGTAACTGCCGGAATCCTGACACTTATGACCATTCAGTATCTCCAGGGTCACGTGATTTACAATCAGATGCTTGACATAACCGTGTTACTAATTTAACAAGTGCAGTGATTCACTTAACATATGTGGTAAGAAAAGTCGTAAAATGGGGCAAAACTCACTTAACAAATTTCTTGCTTAGCAACATAAATTCTGGGCTCCGTTGTGGTCGCAAATCGAGGACTATCTGCAGTTTCCATTTCATCAGAGGCTGCATATTAGTGGACATTGCCACCCACTTTACAGGTAAGAACCAATCATGGGAATATTAAGTTTATTCCACGAAATATGCAGCATTTGATTCCTGTTTCTTCTATTGTTATATCTGTGCTGGGTGGTATGGAATCTGAACAGAATGTTCAGTAGCTGGCATTGGACGGGGGTTCATTTATTTACTAGATATTTATCCTGCCTTTATTACTTCACATGTAACTCGAGGTGGCAAATATGCCTAATACTCCTTCCTTGTCCTATTTCCCCCACAATGACAACCCTGTGAGGTGGACTGGGCTGAGACACAAAGATTGGCCCGAAGTCATCCAGTTGGCTTTCATATTTAAGGTGGAACTATAACTCACTTGTCTCCTGGTTTTAGCCTAGTACCTTAGCTGATAGATCAAACTGGCCCTCAAGGTACAACACAGTTAGTTCAGCTCCAAATTTGTCTGTGCTGATACTCCGTGCTGATACAGCTACATATCCTCCCAATGAACAATAAACCTTTCTGTTTGCGTTTTCCTCCAACCCATCATTTCATACTTTGATTTAGGGTGAAGCAAATTAGACACACAAATGAAGACAGATATATGTGTCCCAGGATAATGTTGTAGGATCCAATCTAGGTTGGTTACCGGAACCGAAGGTTTAGTTTTCCAAGCCTTCAAGATTCCTGCTGGAGCCCATCCTCATCTCACCAGAATGTGTGCTTTGGGCTATTGTGTGAGTAGTATTTATGCCTGGTTGTGTGTGGCTTTTTGGTTGTTGATTGGGGTGTTGATGGCTGATTATTAAGTCATTGGCTTTTGTTTCCTTGTGCTGCCAAGTCCTTGGCTCACAGAATAACCCAAAGCAAACATTCTGGTGAGAGAGAAGTTCCCTGAGGATGGACTTGGAAGACTAAACCACTGGTGCTGGGGACCGACCCAGATTGGACCTGGCAAATTAGATATAATTCTAATAGCATTAAAGCATCTTCTTAAACAGTGATTTTTCCCTTCTTTCGCTCATATATTGAGGCTGTAGTGTCAAACAATCTTAGAATGTATTATCCCTTAACAAAAATATGTTTCTCTACAATATGACACATGAATGCTTCTTTCATTTAAGAATCTCACAAGGAAAATTAAACAGGATTATCCTAAGTGTTCTCTACCACCACTGCATCATCCCCCTCAGCTAAATATTGCCATTAAATAGTCAGTTAAGAGAGACACGTCAACCTTTAAACAATTTGGACAGCTCCCATTTTTGATTCGTATCAGATATGCCGTGGGAAACCTTTACAAACTTCCTTGTACACAGATGGACAGACAAGAAGTTGCACTCAACCCCCCGGCAACCGAGAGGCAGTGAGTCATTTTTTTTTTCTTTCTGGCAAGGGGAATAAAGGGGCAAAGAAAGATGAATGGTACCCATTTTAACCACTTAACCCAGGCAAAACAAGCCTCTCTGTCATTTTGGATTGAGAGGAAAGCGGAAGATTTAAGGCACAATCATCTTACCCCTCAAGTCCCCCCACCAAAGAGAGTCACCCAACTGTAACTGACAGCTTTCTGGTCTACTGTATTCACAGCTATGATCAGACCATGTTTGGATGTTATCCGATGACATTGTGATGCGTCTATGAAGATTCTCAGTCATCCAGGTCATCGTTTCAAAAATAAAAACCATTTTTGATATTGTGATGAGTCCCTATGGCCTTGGAGATATAATAACGATGAGGAGGATGAAGAAGAAGATGCAATTGCTGGCTGCACGACAGCTTTGTGTATTCCTCCATCTTTAAATCTGTGCAGCTACCACTAATTGTCTCCCTCTAATCAAATGCTGATTTGGCCACCATCCTGGGGAGGAGGGTGCGAAGAGCCCACCAACCCTCGGTTCCTGACAATAAAGCTGCCTGAGCTGCTTCCAGAGAGGCATAGGACCAGCTGCTGGATGGCCATTTAATATTAAACTTGGCATTTATCTGTCTGCTGAGAAAGGTCAGGTTAGGAAGGCATGCGCTGAGCATCAAGCCCGAGGCAAGACAGGAAAAGGGAGGCGCAGAGACCAGCAGAGCCCATGGATTTCCTTACCTGACAGCTTCAGGCCTCGCTCGCCCACTTGGGTGTTGTAGCCATTGGGCATTCTGAGGATGGCATCGTGGATGCCTGCCAGCTTTGCCACCGCGTAGATGTCTTCCGTGGAGGCGTTGATATTGCCGTACTGGAGGTTGTAGAAGATGGTGTTGTGGAAGAGAACAGCATCCTATGACAACGGGCACACAAAACAATGTTTCTTAAATACAGGCAGTCCTCAACTTGCAACAGTTCACTTAGTGACTCTTCAAAGTTACAATGGTACAATGGCACTGAAAAAGGGACATGACCGTTTTCCACTCTTACGACCGTTTACCCTATGGTCACATGACCAAAACTCAAATGGTTGGCAACTGACTCATATTTGCAATGTCTTGGGGTCATGGGATCACCTTCTGACAAGCAAAGTCAATGGGGAAGCCAGATCCATTTAACAACCGTGTTACTCACTTAACAATGTCAGTGATTCACTTAACAACTGTGGCATGGAAAGGATGTAAAGTGGGGCAAAACTCCCTTAACAAATGTTTCACTTAGCAACAGAAATGTTGGGTTCAGATGTGGTTGTAAGTCGAGACGCTGACTGGCAATACAAAGGGCCTTTACAAAGTCAGCAGAGAGCTGGCTAGAATTTTCCATCAAGCCACAGAGCTCCTGGGATACTTGAAGGGCGGGCAAAGCTGCCGCTGCTGCTGCTGTTGTGAAGGTCATTCTAATCCAAGCTAGAGAGGTCGAGAGGAAGAACGGCCACCATCATTTCAACAACAATAGGATCAACATCACTTACAAAACAGCCCGGAAAGGGGACGTGGCAGGACAAGCCTAGCGAGGACCTACATAAACTCCCACAGGCTCTTCAATGGCATCTTGCCAAAAATAGCAAAGGGAGTTTAAGGACCAGCAAAACAAACCTGGTATCAACTCATAAAAATATTTCTATGGTCTTTTTAGAGTTTCCATCAGAAAGGGAGGGGGCAGCAGTGCAGCAGCTTGCAAACAGAAACTGCATTCCATAAATAGTTTTCAAAGATAGCAAGTAGGTGACCGGAGTTTCTGCCGTGCAAAATTCTAACTGGAGAGCCTGATTGATGACTCTGGGCTATGGAGGTGTCCCATTGGAGAATATGAATTATGATACACCCAGGGGGTGCGGGGAAACCAGGGTCAAGGGTGACAATGAATGATGCGTCTCAGAGTCGGCTACACCCAGGCAGTGCCAGCAAGTTCACTCCCAATAAATCCTTTTGAAGTTTTGGAAGCTTGGCTCAAGATTCATGATTTAAATGGGGGTTAACTGCCGGAATCCTGACACCTGGAGGGCAGGAGGCCTTTACCTCCTTTATAGAATGATCTGGAACACGTTAACAGATTTAACAGATAATCAGAGTTGGAAGGGACCTTGTAGGTCATCTAGTCCCAAGCGGGAGACCCTACACCATTTCTGACAAATGGCAGTCCAATCTCTTCTTGAAAGTCTCAAGTGATGGTGCTCCCACAAAAGTTAAAAGTGAGGAAACATTTCCAAGGTAGTGACATGTCAAGAATCACCTAGCTTGAGCATTATTAAGATATGACTGTTTCTCTGGAGCAGCGTTTCTCAACTGTGGCAACTTAAAAGTGGACTTCAACTCCCAGAATTCCGCAGCCAGTGGATTCCATGGAGATTATTTTGCTTCAGCTCCAGAAGCAATAAAAGACTTAACAGGAAATCTTTTTGATGTTTTCAGCTTTTGTGACTAGTTTCCGAAGGACATCGGTTCAGTCTTTTATTCTGGGGGATTTTAACCATCAGATAAAAACTGTTTTATTCACACACGCTGGGCCTGCTGACCTGATCCGTTTCTTCTTCTTCTTCTTCTATTGCTTTCTTTATTTGGCTTCATTGCTTCAGTTTCCCCATTATTACATCAGTCTCTGGGCCTGGTGCATTAGAATGACTTTCAAGTTAAGAAAAAAAAAAAAAAACATACCTGTGGCACAACTCCTAAAGCCTTCCGCAGGCTTTCCAAGCTGACATTTTGTATATTCTTGCCAGCGACATAAATCTCTCCCTTCTGAGGCTCATAGAAACGAAATAATAATCTCATAATTGTGCTTTTCCTTAAAAAAAAAAAAAAAAAACCGAGACTCAGGGTTAGAACATTTTTTGCCCCTTTTCAAAAAAAAAACCCAGGTCTTTATCACCGTTAAAAGAAAAAAGAAATCAATCAATGATGCAGAATTTTGTGCATCCATGTACCCACCCTGACCCACTGCCTCCTACAATGGCCACTTTTCTTCCTGCAGGGACTTCAAAAGACACGCCACTGAGGACTTTCTGCCCCTCAAGGTATTCAAAATGCACGTTATCAAAGGCGATGGTAGCAGTCTGTGAGGTGATCTGCAGGGGCGGAGCCAGCTCTTTATCCTATTAAAAGAAGAGTCCCGCTTTACACACTGCCCGGAAGGTATTTTAAAAAGCTTAACAAGCTAAACAATAGATCTAATTGAAAATGAGGCACAAGAAAAGGCCTGAAAGAGGCTAAAAGTAATAATAATAATAATAAAAAAACCTAGCAGTTTCAGCCACAGGTAAATTTCTTTCTTTCTCTCTCTCCTCTTCTTTCAAGTTTAATTATTTTATTTTATTTTTTGCCAGAATGGTCTAGCTCCAAGCAGTCTTTCGCACAATCAATTCTGCATCATTAATTAAAATGACAGAATAAAATTTCAATGCACAGGGCGCACTTATATAAAATGCAGAGATTACACATGCCCCCTTGGCTTCTCCCCTCCCTCAAAAGCTCTTTCAGAAATGCAATATTAAAATGAAGGATCTTCAGTAACATCGCCATTAAAAACGAATCTGGATTCATTTTAAACTAGTGTACAAGACAAACGTTTAAGGAAGATTTCATAGGCAATACTCACTTTGATTTTAGTGTCTATGTTAAGCAGCGTAAACAATAAGTTCATGTCTATGAGTGCCTGCCTCGTCTCTCTATATACCGTCCCCAGGAAGTTAAGGGGTAAGGAAATCTGGAACAGCAATCCGTTCACCATGACCAGATCACCAACAGTTAAATTACCTTTGTGACAAAGAAAAGGTAGAGGAGCAATAAGGCAGTTTACAGCTATGTAGCTTAATTTTTCAAAATAAGTTGCAGCAAGCTTATTTTTTCCAAAGCACCAAAAGACAAGACAAGAAACTAAGCAAAGGAGAGAAGCAATCTAGAACTAAGGAGAAATTTCCTAGTGGTGAGAGCAATCAACCAATGGAACAGCTTGCCTTCAGAGGTTGCGGGAGCTCCATCACTGGTGGCTTTTAAAAAGAGACTGAAATGGGTATACAGTAGGGTCTCCTGCTTGAGCAGGGGTTGGACTAGAAGATCTCCATGCTCCCTTCCAGCTCTATTATTCTATGTTCTATGTTCAAAACTATTTGTCAACTCATAAAACATTTTGTATACACGTTTTATAGTTGACAACAGAAAGAAGGGGGAAGGGAAGTTTCAAAGAACAGGCAGCAGTGTGGAATCGAAAGTACATTCCATTCATATTTTCTTCAAAGACTGATTAGATGACTGAAGCTTCTTCTGGGCAAAAATCTAATTGGACAACATGATTGATAACTCTTGGCTATGGACGTGTTTCGTTGGATGATACACCCAGAGGGGGGGGGGGG